CTCCTTCCCCCCCCACCCTCACCCCCCCCCTCTGCCTAAGCCCAAGCCTAAGCCCCTTCCCTTCCCCCTGCCCCGCTGCCGCCGCACAAGCCCATTACCTACCTTGTGCCCCAAGCTCCTTCCCCCCCCACCCTCACCCCCCCCCTCTGCCTAAGCCCAAGCCTAAGCCCCTTCCCTTCCCCCTGCCCCGCTGCCGCCGCACAAGCCCATTACCTACCTTGTGCCTTCCACGTTGCAGTTGCGGGGCTGGGGCATTAACTCAACTGCATGTTTCCTGATCTTGAAGTCTGATTGCAAGGTTATAAATTAAATCTGCATATGCTATTGCAAAATTATGATGAAAACGATACATCCCGCAATGGAGAAAAAAACCTATCTTCCTTTTATTTTACCTTATGTGGCACAACATAATCCATCTAAGAAAAAACCCACACTGCTTTGAATACCAAAGGAAAATTTTATAGTATTTGAGTGGCATTAGACTGAACCATGTCTCAAGGGCTGCTGCAGTGAACAAAATAACTTGATTTATACGCTTTTGTGTAACAGTCATTGTGTTGATTTAGGTAGTTGGGGTGAAAAAGCCATCTCATCTCTTCTTGTGTTAATCTTGACAATATTCTACTCGGCTGAAAAGTCATTTTGGATTCAATTGTATTATTCTTGAGCCCAGGGCAGTCTAATAAAACTAATAATGTTTCACATAGAGAAAATTAAATCTAATTATAATCCCTTTGCAGAAAAGTTGTTTTATGCTATTCTGTTTTAAAATGTACCTTGCTTGTTTGACATTATTAGAGTTAAGCATCATTTTTCAGACAAACGAAGGTTTGGGTTGACCGGAACATTTTGCACATGTCTTCTTTCACAAAAGAAACCAAATAAAACTTTCAAAAAAGATAAAACATTTTGTTTTGACATTTTGAAATGAAATGTTTTTATTTTGATTCAAAAGTGTTTTCGTTTAAAATTTTACAACAATTTTTTAAAAACTTAAAGTAACTAAAAACCTCAAGCAAAATTAAATGTTTCATTTTAGGTCAAACAAAATGTTTCATTCAAGCAGAAACAATTTTTTTTATTTTTTTATTTCTCAGTTCTCTAAAAAAAGTAATTTTGGGTTGACCTGAATCAATTTTTTGTATTAATTCTCAGTTCAGCCCTTAAACAAACAAGCTATGCACACAGCTCTCCTTGTTTAACAGATTCAGGTATCAGATGCTGAGAGCTGGGAAGAGAGGAGACTCTATATAAACCATTTTTTGTCTTGCTAAATTTGCATAACTTTTAAATGTGTTTTAAAAATGCACTTACTAAAATCCTCATTAACAATTACAGGCATTGCTCTGGTATCTGGCAATTTGACATTTGGGGTTATTTTTCCCAAAATACAAATACTGATGTTACATTACTTCTATTTCTGTGAAGATTGTTGGTATTTGATCATTTCTGTTAATATTTGACTGGTTTATTCTGTTTGTTTTAGGATCTTACTTCTATTTTTGTTAGTCTTTCTGTACTTGCAATAGTATTTGATAGAATAATAGAAATGTTGGGTTGGAAGGGACCTCAAGAGGTCATCAAATCCAGCCTCCTGCGTTGAGGTAGGACCAACTAAACCTAGACCACCTCTAACAGGTGTTTGTTCAACCTGTTCTTAAACACCTCCAATGATGGCAATTCCATAACTTCTCTTAGAAGCCTATTCCAGACTTCAGCAATCTGTATAGTTATAATGTTTTATCTAATATCTAGCATACATTTCTGTTGCTGCATATTAGACCCATTACTTGTCCTACCTTCAGTGGAGATGGAGAACAATTGATCTGTCCTCGTTATTATAGCTCTTAACATATCTGAAGACTGTTATCAGTTCCCTTCAGTCTTTTAATATTAAACATAGACATTTTTTAACTTTTTCTCATGGATCAGGTTTTTTAAAAGCTGAGCCTGTTTAGTCTTTAGTTTTGTAGATTGTACCTGAAGATCTCTTTTACCTGACTTCTAATTATCTTCAAAATCTATAGCAATTTCTCAAGACATTGTTCTCTTTGCAGAAAGGGAAGGTGCTTTTCACAGATGCCAGCATTCTCCAAGGATCAGTCTGTCATCTTTAAGTGACACCAGCACATGTTAATATAATGGGACCTGACGGTGGTTTCTTAAGCAGTGGACAACTTCATGTTGTTGCGTGGGGAAGTTTGGCTGCTGTGACTGCACTCTTCTTCCTTACGTTGCTCATCTTTCTCTGCTCCAGCTGTGACAGGTAAGACTCGGGGGTCAGGCGGCAATAAAGAGAAAAAGCATGGAACATGCTTAGGGAGTTCTGTTGCATTTTTTGTCAAGGTATAAATAAAGGAAAACCCTTCTGTCATTGTAATATGTTCTCTTCAGTTCTGGGGTAAGTATTTTTGACACTTTAAGTAGAATGTGGATTGAAGTCATTTAATTTATAACAAAGTAGCAAGAATGGCTGAATTTACAAAAAAATCCAAAAAAATATCCAAAGTAGTTTATTGGCCATCTTTATGCACATGAAACTGAACACCAAAAATAGGATTTTATATGAATCTGTAAATTTGGGGGCTGTGTCCTATAACTAGAGAATTATTAATGTAACTATTTTTAAGAGCGAGAAAGAGAAAGAAAAAAAATTACTAGGAAACTACAGGCCTGTTAGTTTGACCGCAAGTTTATGCATCGTCTTGGAACAAATTTAGAGAAAGAAAATAGTTCAGGACAATAAAGCTAACCAGTAATTGGGATAATATACAACATGATTTTACAACAGATAGACTATGCCAGATTAACCTGATCCCTTTCTTCAAGAAAATAATGGATTTTTTGGCAAAGGAAATGCAGTAAATTTAATCTACCTGGATTTCAGTAAGGCATTTAATACAATTTCCCATGGGAAATTATTAGTTAAATTGGACAAAATCGGGATTGAGAATGGAAAGATGGATAAGGAACTGAGAAGGCTAAATACTGAAAAGTGAACTCTGAGGCTGGATGGAGGTTACTGATGGAGTTCCTCAGGGATCAGTCTTGGAACAAATTTAATTCACTATTTTCAGTAATGACCTTGGCACAAAAAGTGGGAGTGTGCTAATAAAATTTACAGATGACACAAAGCAGGGAGGTATTGACAAGATAGCGGAGGATCAAATACCATACTGAAAGATCTGGAAGACTTTGAAAACTGGAATAATAGAAATGGGATGAAATGTAATAGGTCAAAGTGCATGGATGGCGGGTATCAGAGGCAGGGGAAGGCAGAGCTGTCCCAAACTGCCTGGCTGGCCCCACCCACACTCTGACTCCAGGCTCCCTCCACTTCAGCACAACTCCCTCCGGTCTCTCATGGCTGCCTTCTCTGTAGCTGCACCAGGGCTGAGGCTGCCCGCCCTCCCTGTGCTCCAGTGCCAGGAAAGCTGGGGCTATGTGCTGTCCACTTAGGGGGGATGGTTTGAAGACGTGCCCTGAGAGGTGGGGGGAACTCTCTAGAAGACAGATTGGGACCAGGCTAGACCCAAGAGCCCTTTGGTTTCCAAAAAGCATGTGTTAATTGGTTCTGCTCTTAAAAGACAGACCCATCTAATTTTCTTCTTTACAAGATCTTGTGAGCACTCCCATATTCATCAAAACTGCCTGTATATAGATATGCGTTAAAAATCTTCTTGCTCTTAACCAAAGTTCTGTTTAGTGAATACAGCTCTGTATTGTATCTAATAATGCTTGAATCCCTGAGACATAGCCAGAAACCAGAAGCAACAGAAAGATTTTATGAGAATGTATCTGTTGGATAAACAGATTTCTAACAAGTTATGCAAATTCTTGGCTAGAAGCTATCTAATGAGGCTCTTCAGTAATTCAGCATGTTGCTAGTCTGTTTGCAGTGTCATTTTTACGAGTTATTTTGTGGGGTGAGTTGTTTACACAGAAATACGATTACATGCAATATCTCCATCAAACTCTTTTCAAAAATTATTGATGGAATATTTGATGATGTAAAAAAGAGAAAAATCTGCTGAACTTAAAATGGTTTGTCAAAAAGTTTTGGGAAGGAATTAAGCATTTGTAAACATAAATCAAACTCTGAATGGCATGGATATTGGTAGAGATTTAATTGGTTGTTTCACAATTAAGTAGAAGTTTAAAGATGTAGTAGACAGACTTCTGTTGTGGAAAATGCCATGTGTCTCAGGGCCAGAGACAGATATTGTTAGTCTCCCACCTCACCTCCCTGTACTTCCTCTCCCCTCTGCAATTTTTACTTCCCTTTTCCTCCAAATTGAGAAGTTTCCATCTGACAGCTTCATCGCTGTGTTTCAAAATAACTGATCCTTTTCATGAAGGGGCCATTGAGGACCCAGTTAATCCCATCTAAAACTCTGGACATTTTAAAGCACAACACATTCATTGCATAATGAAGAATATTATACATTATATGTAGTGTTAAAAAGTACATTGTAGGTGTTTTGCTTCTTGAAGTGCCCACTTTATCCACTATTGTTAAGAAATCACAATGCTGTTAGTAGGATTTGTATGGCCCCTAGACCTTTAAAAAGCCTCTTCTGGTTCTTCAGACTGTAATTTTCATTAAAAGGTGTTCTCCGGGCCATTTAAAGAGTCAGAATCACAAATTACAGAGCATGTCACAAAAATATCTGACACACAAATAAAAAGATTAAATTGTTATTTTAACACGGCAGTTCAGAACTTTCTCCATTCTGTGAATCCATGTTAGACCAGGAAAAAATTCTGATATGAGTGACCATCTAAACCTGTTGGCTACCCCTTTCTAGAGAGTGGCAACTCCAGGGTTAAGAATCCATGCTTTTGTCTGAAGAATAGAAGTGAAGCAATATTGGTCAGTAGTGATCACTACTAACATAGGGTATGTCTACACTATAGCACTAATTCGAACTAACTTAGTTCGAATTAGTTAATTCGAACTAAGCTAATTCGAATTAGCGCATCTAGACTTAAAAACTAGTTCGAAGCGTTTTGCTAATTCGAACTAGCATGTCCACACAGAGTGGACCCTGAACTGGGCTTAAGGATGGCCGGAAGCAGTGCCGGCAGGGCATCAGAGGAGGACTTAAAGCGTGGAGATACTGTCTCAGGCTAGCCGAGGGCTGCGCTTAAAGGGACCCGACCCCCCCCCCGGACAGACAGCTCTCAGGGGTGCCCCCCTTGCAAAGCAGTCCTGGCTTGGAGTGCCCTGAGTGCCCACACTTGGAACATCACAGCACTCGGCCATCAGCCTGGCTGCACTTGCCCCAGGCTGCCATTCGGGGGGGATCAATAATTGGGGGGCTGCAGGAGAGCTTCCACCCCCAGAAGCCCGCAGAGCCAG